ATCCGCCATGTGTATAAAAACAGCTAAACGTCGCCTAATAATATGATCTCACAGTAAATGACTAAACATTAGGCTTTTAATGAAGTAGACTGAGCTAAGTAAAGGTAAAGGTCCGCACTGATTTCCATTTAAACCCCGAGGAGGGTTTAAAGCTCCCTGAGATGTTAATGTATTTTCAGGCTTGACATGCTGTAGATTGGAACCTTCGTTGACTCTATATTTATGATCATTTTATTTGTTCTTGATGCGCAGAAACACCAATTAGTCATGATTGGCAATTGGTGGACATATCTCTTCTCTGTTGCTGATTCAGCTTCTTGTGTGCAGATGGTTCACTTCCTCTTAGTGTGTCCATTGTGTAACATAAAGTTTTGCTATAAATATGCCTTAAATCTTACATAAGCAGTTATTTGAATAAATTACATTACTGGTTTTATCTGCAGGCACATGAAACCTTCATTCTACAATGCTCTTACCTTAGTATTCTGTAGGCTATTATTAGTACAGTATTATTTTTATTATTTCAAGATTCAAAAGATATGATATAACGTCAAATGTATTAAAAACAATAATGTAAAAGAAAACTCATTTCATTGTCAACAAAAACAGCATGCTCTCAAAGCTCAAAGTTAGGATTTCCTTAATGACAGTACTTCCCTACAGGCTATCATGAATGCTGTCCCCTCCTATTATGCTATGATAATACTGGAGAAACTATAAGACAGATTCAATGATCAATTAGCAAAACACTCAAATCTTTAAATGTTAGGCTACTAAGATCGTCTTTCATTCAAGCTTATATATTCAATGTCATTTGTCATGCTAACAATGTTCACACTATTATGCTTTAGCATTAAAATACAGAATTTAACTGAATAACAGCTGCTGGCAAAGATAACAAGGTCAGTAACACTGTAATTCATTATCATGTTGTATTCACCACTGGTAGTCCAGACTGATGAGAGCCAATGAGGGAGAGAGGTGGGTGTCTACATCATCGTTTCCAAAGGTCTCAGTTTCTGTCCGTCCAGGCTACAACACAACCCCAGAGTTTTCAAAATTAAACAGGTCCAGCAGAGTTACCAAAACTCAGTTTCCGGGGCTTGGAAACTACAGAGTCGCGTGGACGGAGGAGGAAACATAGGAAAGGAGATTAGTTTTAGTGTGGACATAGTCTGACTCTACTCAACATCTTTCCACTCATTGTTTTAGTTTTAGGGCTTGATGTGTAAATGAGCTAACACGTTTGCTGTATCAACTTTTGTCAGCGTTGTGTGTACAGCCCTCCTCCTTACTGCCTCCTCTGCTCACCTCTCCTCTGCATCTGTTCAGGAGTGTTCTCCCTATGCAGCTCACCTCTTTGATGCCGAAGACCCGAGCACCCCTGACCGGACCATCCCTGGACTCTGTCAGGATTACTGCTCCCAGTTTTGGAATAAGTGCAGTTCCACCATCCCTCTCCTGACTGATGACCCACACATTGCCAAAGTCAAAGCAGACCAGACTCGTGTCTGCCAGTACCTGGCGCTAGATGACGTGGACTACTGCTACCCACACCTCCTCAGCAACCAGAAGCTAACACAGAACCTGGGCCGGGTTCAGTCAGACACAGATGGTTGTCTGCAGCTGTGTCTAGAAGAAGTGGCCAACGGTCTGCAGAACCCACTAGCCATGGTCCACGCCAATGATGGCACACATCGGTTCTTTGTGGCTGAACAGGTGGGCTTGGTGTGGACCTACCTTCCTGACCGGTCCAAACTGCAGAAACCATTTTTGAACATTACTAAGGCGGTCTTAACATCATCATGGGAAGGTGATGAGAGAGGCTTTCTAGGACTCACCTTTCATCCCATGTACAAGTACAATGGGAAGCTGTATGTGTATTACTCAGTGGAGGTAGGTTTTGATGAGAGGATCAGGATCAGTGAGTTCCATGTGTCAGCCAACGACATGAATGTGGTGGATCACACCTCTGAGCGGTAGGTATGGACAGTCCATCCAGGTTTGGTAACAGCAATGGGTTTTTAGAGATCTTCAACATTTAGAACTCTACATGTACCCTACAGATAAACATGGAGTTTCTATGTTGTATTTGTCGTGTCCACTGTTCTTCCAGGGTTATTCTGGAGATCGATGAGCCTGCATCAAACCACAATGGAGGGCAGCTGCTCTTCGCCGATGACGGTTACTTGTACATTTTCACAGGTGATGGTGGAATGGCAGGAGACCCATTTGGGAAATATGGGAATGCTCAGAACAAGTAAGAAAATATTTGATCTTAAGTAACCAAGTATCTTTCAAAGAACCAATCTAATTGCAACAAATGTACCAAAGAATGAAGTTTAGAGAAATCTTAGATGAATGTTTTTCTCAGAAAGTATATATGTAAATTATATCTGCAGGAACAATATTTGTTACTCTTCATGTGACATAAAATGCCAGTTACTACTCATTTCCCATATTGCCACATCTATATCAGGTCAGCTCTCTTGGGTAAAGTTCTTCGTATTGATGTGGATGACAACGAGAGAGGTCCACTGTACAGAGTCCCTCCAGATAACCCGTTCATACATGAGCGAGGAGCTCGACCTGAGATTTACGCCTATGGTGTCCGCAATATGTGGAGGTGCTCGGTAGACCGGGGCGACTTTCACACCAAAGAGGGCAAAGGACGCATCTTCTGTGGGGACGTAGGCCAGAACAAGTTTGAAGAGATTGACATTATCGAGAAAGGGCGGAACTACGGCTGGAGAGCTAAAGAGGGCTTCTCCTGCTATGATAAGAAGCTTTGTGCCAACAGCTCACTAGGTAGGTTTCGTCTGGACACAGCCATGGTCACCCTTGTTCAGCAGCAGACAGCAGTGGTCTTAACTGTGTTGAATTGGAGGGCCAAGACTGCGGTTTTTCATTCACGCACCAGAACCTCTCCAACTCTCTCCACAAATAGTGTAACTTTTCCTGTCTGGATGAAATCAGCTTCTGTAGTGTTTTGTCTGAATGAAAGGCTGCAGGCTCTTGGCTCTTTGCAGAAATGATGACCCACTTTTTTTTTACTGCTGCCAAGGAAATAAACTCGCTTTGGATACAAGCGTCTGCCAAATGAGTAAATGTAAATGTAAACTCATTATTACATTATACCAATATAACTTATGCAAACTGCCATCAGTTAGATGAAATACTGAAAGCAACATTTAACCAGCAGCTACCACATGGAACCTACAACTTGTTGTTAGAATGTGGATTATCATGTCGTCAGTAGACCATTAGAACCTTTTAAGCGACTTACCTGACCAACCGTAATTCACACTGAAATGTGCAAAATCGTCATGAAATCACTGAATAATTGACATTGTCAGCCTAGCCGAGCAGTTACAGTGTGCCTTGTTGGACCTGCATTATCAATGTCATCATGGTGGTTTAATGAGATACATGTGCTTCCAATATTCGCTTCAAATGATTTCTAAATTAGAACATATATTGTGCTAAAGTGGCTAAGTTTAAATGAAAAAAATGAAAAATGAAATGAGACTTATCCTTGAAAGATACATTTTTATTGAACTGTAAAATTGACAGTGTCACAGAAAAAACATTTTCTGAATATAAAATGACTGGCTTCACGGAAAAGAAATGGGTGGTCCAGATTAAAGACAAGCTCAGAAAAACCAAGAATGACCTTTAGATTTGTTCACAGATGATGTCCTGCCGATTTATGCATACCCCCACAAGATGGGCAAGTCAGTGACTGGTGGCTATGTGTACCGAGGCTGTGAATACCCCAACCTGAACGGGATGTACATATTTGGAGACTTCATGAGCGGGTAAGATTTAATCTTGTAAATAGCATGTTTTGTTTGCAAAATAACACCAACATTTATGTTTGTGTTAACAACAGCAGTGAAAAGATTTTGAGGAATGGAAACAATATGATATCAGGCCTAAGCCTGAAGATAAATTTAGTAGATGTTTGTTTGATACCTCACTTTCACAGATGACATGGAGTCTGTGAACTAGTTTGGACAAGCAAAGAGAGGGGAAGTTCAAGTTCTTGTCAAACACAAAGCACTTCTTTTAAACAGCTCCTTTTTCTACAGGCCCTCTACCGTTGTGTCATATTTTCCACCAACTGTAGCTTCAGTAAAACAGAATATATTTACATTCAGATTCAGATCCAGACAACTTTATTAATGCTAAAAAGGGCAGTTCCTTTGCAGCTTACCCAGTCCATACACACAAGTTCTCTGTCAGAGGCAACAGATCAACATACAGTGTGGATCAATGCAAGGAGCAAAAAGTAAAACAAATAAAAATAAAACATATAAAATAGATAAGAAATAATACATTATGTTACAGTTCCTATAGCAGATGTGTAATATACATGAATGACTGAATTTTAAATTTTAAATATTTGTATATATTATTTATATATATCTATATATCTATATATATATACATATTTATATATACAGTATACATATATATATATATTTGTATATAAATATACAGTATAACAGTTATTTAAAATGACAGCTGTAGGCGTTTAGTAGCCTGATAGCAGAAGGAATGATGGACTTGGAGTAGTGGTTTGTTGTCCTAAGCGGAACATACCGGTAATGCCAACCTGCGTGCACTACAGTAAACTCTCTGGACAGAATATGGTCCGATTGGCTGATCATTCCATTTCTCCCAAAGGGAGCACAAGCCACTTTACTGGATTCCGACTTATCTTTGAGCAAACTTTCACAATACCCTTTAGGCTATTTTTGTCCTTTACAGACAACCCATTAAACCAGCAAATATAGTCCACACACATCTTCCATATTTGGGAGGCTTTTGATGGAACTGCAACTGACCATTTTCATTATCAATTAATCTATTAAAATCTTTTTTTTGCTGAATACATGAATACTTTAGTCTACTATAAAATGTCACAAAAACAGTGAAAATACCCCCTCAGAGTGTCCCAGAGCCCGAAGTGATGTCTTCAAATTCAAAGATCTTAAAGTCACAGTGAAATACAACACAGGGAAACAGAAAATACTCACAATGGAGAACCTGGAACAGGCATATTTGTTCAATATATGATTAGCACTTCAATAATTGTTCATGCTCCCTAAGGCTGCATAAAAGTTCACACAACACCCTGTCTCAAAATAACATGGACTGCACTGCACATTAGAGACTGGGAACATTTTGCTTTGTTCCTGTACCAGGCGTTTGATGAGTCTGCAGGAGGACAGAAACACTGGGCAATGGAAATACAATGAGATCTGTATGGGGATGGGCCTGACCTGCGCCTTCCCTGGACTCATCAACAACTACCACCAGTACATCATCTCTTTTGCTGAGGATGAAGCTGGTAATTCATAAACACACAACCTCAAAGCGACCTATGATGCTGTCTACACCAGCTGTAACTAGTCTAATGTCCTCCTGATGTTCTGTTCTCTTTTTCTTTCCATCAGGCGAGCTGTACTTCATGTCCACTGGAGTGCCGAGTGCTACGTCACCTTCAGGAGTCGTTTATAAATTGGTGGATCCCTCAAGGTGACTAATATAATAATTACTTTGCTATTTCCTTACTTTGCCTTCATTACATGAAGAAAGCTCATATAAAATGTCCACTAACTGCTCACTGTGAAGTGAGTATGTGCAGTTCTGTTGGACATGGATATATAAGACACACATCTGTTCATAATTACAAATCTCTTTCTACTGTGTTAGCTTGAGGGACGTGCAGTATCATGATCATACTTGGCTTGGATGTGAGTTTAGCTCTGTGTTTTGTTAGCATTGGTGGGATAACTTTCTCAGACATTTCTTTGGTGTCTATTTAAGTACTGAATCACACCTATGGTGCACGCGTGCAGTTAAGTTGTGGCCCGTCTTGAAGGTTATGTAACCACTGTTCCTACGGTTAGTAGTTTACATAGAACAGTCAACTAGATCACATGATCAAATGTTACACTTACTCTATGTACAGTTTGATCATGTTGAGAATATGACGCATCATCAGACAAACATCCAGCTCAGTAATATCAGACCATACCATGGATGTAGCAGGTTATGATTAGCATAGCATTAAGCAGCAGGTGAATAAACAGAAGTAGTTTGTGTTTTGAATGACTTCATTTACTGGCTTGTGTCAGTAAATGAAATAAGCCACATTGGAGACATCCGTTCAGTAGAGAAGCTGCAGTGCAGGCAGAGGTCAAGCTAAGCTAACAGGTTAGGCTATGAAAACATTGCTAAGCTAGCTTTCATTTCCAGCAGAACAAGCTGTCCAAGTGTAACAGACTGACTTTGTCATGTTTCTGTGTAAAGGCATCACAGATAAAGAAGAGTGAATGATGAATGAAAGGATGTTTTCTGTCCTTTCATCTTTACTAACTAACAATTGAATTAGCTCAGAGGCTACCTGCAACTACCGGCATCTTTTAAGGTGGAATGTTTTCTTTTGTGTTACTTAATGCTTGATTAACACCTTAAATGTCAATATGACAACCTTGACCATTTCATTTGATTTTGTTAGCTCTCCTCATGACATACACTTTAGTGATGATTGGATCTTCTCAACCAGATTGTTGAACTGTGAATATCACTTGGAGAAAAAAAAGTGGCAAAGTGACAATTAAAAGTATTCAAAGTTTCAGAAAAAAGAGTGATTCGTTTTTGTTCTGTGTTGTTTTTTTGTTGTTTTCCAGACGTGCTCCACCGAGGCAGTGTCACTATGACCCTCTTCCTGTCAGAGTTAAAAGTAATCTCATAAAGTTTGTTCCGCAGGAAAGTGAGTCGACTTACAAAGCACTTGTCACTGACTAGAACTAATCAAATATGTGACTTTAATTGTTTATGTTCATATTTGGTCACATGTTTTACCATTGCTCTTCCATTAGCATTGATTGGCATTGAGCCATCAAGCAATAACCAGCCTGAGCCACAACCCACACAATCATACGACTGGCTCCAAGAGCTCATTGACCGTCTCGGTGAACTAGGACCAGACCTGGCCACCCCTTTACCAACCACTACTACCACCAAACCACCCAGACAGTCAAGGCGGAAAGGTCGGCGCAGAAAGGGAAAATCCAGAATGGAACCTGGACCCGAGCTCCAGAGTGGAAGGGTGAGGCTGTCTGGAGACGAAGAAGGCCGCAGTGACCGTGGACGAGTGGAGATCTACATTAACGGGGAGTGGGGCACCGTGTGTGATGACCTATGGACCACCAAGAATGCTGCAGTGGTTTGCCGGCAGTTAGGCTTCCGGTACGCTCTGAAAGCAGCCAAGAACTCAGAGTTTGGTGAGGGGAAGGATATGCGGATTCTTCTGGATGATGTTCAGTGTGAAGGCACAGAGTCCAGCCTGCTGGAATGTAAACACGCCGGCGTCGGGACACATAACTGTGCCCACTATGAAGATGCCGGGGTGATCTGTGGCAACTCAGACTACGTTGTGCAAGTCTAAAAGTGGGACTACTATGAAGTCAGAGTAGTGCAGCCACGGTACAATGTGTTTTGAATAAGGTATATGGTACATTTTTTTTCTTTTTATAAAACCCACAGGTGAAGCAAAATCTAAAGCAGGAAATGATGTAGGCTGTTATGATCCAACACTGTAACTGTGTCCAAGCTTTTCCTTCGCTAATGTCAACAGTGGCACTTTGCTAATTTTACTCAAAGGTAAATGTTTATATGAGAGTTTATTTTTAATTTTTCATCACAGATTTGAATGTTGTAATTTGAATGTATGTTTGGCTTCTCAGTGATTTGTTACAATAACATGTTTGATAATAATAAGTGTCTGAATGTCAGATTTTCTAATGTGTTGAATGTTTATTCCCCACTGAATGAATGTATGGTTGTATCCTGATGTTACCATGTTGGTAAAATGATTTCAATAAACTCTTTCTAGAATCTACCTAGCTCGTACCAGGCGTTAATGTAACGTCAGAAAGACGTTAGACAGACATTAACCTTTGGTTGGAAATGACGTCAAAATCCAGTGTTGGTTAATTAAGAAACATCACACTCAGGGTCGTATAATAATAATAATAATAATAATAATAATAATAATAATAGTTAAATTAGTACAGTTCATGATCCACTTCCTTTGGCTGAGGTGTTATACAGCCTGATGGCAGTGGGGACGAAGGATCTCCTGAATCGCTCTGTTCTGCAGCGCAGTGAGATAGTTGGCTGCAGCTGTAGCTGCTTCTCCGTCATATCACTGATATGATATTGGATGTCATATGAGCACACCTGGAGGTGTGCGCTAAGTAGGCCTATCCATGATTCTTTCCTTCCCTTCATCCTCTACTGACGACCATACACCATTTAATTCAAATTACTATTTCTGGAAATAATCGTTACGGTATGTTACAATCAAAGATCGACCACAACCGTTAATGTACTCTATATCAGCACTCTAGGAATGCCTCAGATTACTTGGTCGGAAATAATTGTTGTACAATGTCAATTGTGACGTTTAGCAGAGTTGGGCTACAGAGTATCTTTGGTCACCATACTTCAAGACTAGAATGTCGCTATTCTAGGTCAATATGACGTTGACAAAACCAACATCACTATCAACGTCAGCTGCTGTAGTTTTGTACGTGAAATTGATGCTAGCATTAGACATTGTCCTGGCACCCAATTGAAACATTCAACCAAATACCTGCTACATGTTAGTTGCCAGCTGACTGCAGGCTGCTGGCTTTCTCCTACACTAAGTTTGATACAACTGGACATGAGAGCACTGTTTCAGAACTATCCCGCGAATTGTTGTGGTTAAATGCCCTACTGTTTCCCCGTTGATGTGCGTGAACCCTCACCACAACCTGAGCCCAGCGAAACAGTATCTGAAGGGGGAACAGACCGAAGCTCGATGTTATAACTGGTCTTTTGTCCAGTGTAAAAGGGTTTTAAGATACAAGATCGGCAAAGGTCGGTGATGCAGTGCTACATTTTATTTAGTTACGTTCAAATGACATAAACCAACTGTCATACAATGTAGCGCACAGATTGTTTGACTCAGGCTTTCGTTTGTGAGTTGCTAAGCTACTTGGCCAGCTAAGATTAAATCAATCACACAGTGGTACAAAGTATCAGCAATGAAGTGATGAGAAACGCCGAGGCCGGTTGTATTGGCTCCATAGCTCAGTGGTTAGAGCACTGGTCTTGTAAACCAGGGGTCGCGAGTTCGATCCTCGCTGGGGCCTGGGTGTTACTTGTTCCTTTTTCCCAATCGACACGTTTCAGGTTACCTTTTGTTGGCATAATACGTAGCATGATCTGTACTCCGCAATTGCTAAAGGTTTGCAAACACGCCCACAGTACACTAAACAACCATAGCTCCACACTGACACCCTGTGGTCTTTAAAAGAGTGGCATGAAGTGGAGTAGACACACAGAGCAACATCAATCGTAATGTTGAGTTAAATGTTGAAAATATAGATTTTTCTTCTTCTTCTGTTTGAATATTGCATTGTAATTCAAGTCTTAATATATAATCAAAACATACCCTCAAACATAGTTGCAGGATGTGGAGTAGGCCTAAGCACTGAGACAAAGTCTAAATGACAGGCATTTAATAGCAGCCAGTCAGTGTTTATTTTAGGGAACTTTCTTCTGTGTTGTGAAGTTCATTGATATGCTGAGCACCAGCTCTCACGAACTGGAGCCAGGCTGACCACCCTACACCCTGCCAATATGTGGCTCTGCCTCTCAGCCAGGTTCCCTGTACCATATCAGTCCTGAATCTCCTGACACAACCTGAACTCAAATGCTCCCTGATAAATATAAGTCAGGCAGTGACTGTTTCTACCAAACCACTGTTTTAATGACTATTAATGGCTATGTTTCAATGTGCATCCATTGTGTTTTGTTCCCTTTTACTTTCTCACACTAGTTCTTCATAGATAAATATATTAAGTAGGAATATAATCTTGAGGTATAGTTTAACAACAAATAACTTTATTTATATATCTATTATACTGTATATGATGAATTCTGAATTGTTCCCTCTCTCCCTTGTTTAATCACAACAGAAATGTCAAGGATGATAAATGTCTAAGACTTGTTTCCATTGTTGAAATAAGATCCTAACAAGTGCAAGCCTAGGTGACATCACCCTACTAACAAAACCACACACAACACAATTACACGGTTATTGACACAATTAATGTCATGTAATTTGCAATAAGATCACTCCAAATTATTACATAGCCTACAAGCTAGCAAGCTTCCCTTATCTCTCTGGCTTCATCCAGCATATCAAATGAAATACATGGGCAGAACTCAGTTTTTGTGTGTACATTACAAAATGTCCAGAATGCACCCTTTGCTTTTTTGTGATTAAACCTTATTATTGCTTTTTTCAGTTTACAAACGTGTATTTAAGACATAAAAGATTCACACATATAAAATATAAGGTAATAAAAAATAAAATAAAATAATAAGAACACAACATGTACATTCCTCAGTGACTTTTTTATATGATACATAAAGATCAGCGATGGGATACATGAATATCACTTGCCTTGGCAATCATCTCTACCTATAGCAAAAGGGGCCCTGTCTTCCTGAATACATCTAGACTGTTATTAATTCTGTGGACAAGCTGCTCATAAGAAGCCATCTTACCCAGCATGTCTCTCCATTCATTAACACTGACATGCTCTTCTGACTTCCAATGTCTTAACACTATTCTACTGCCTGTTATTGAGGCTGGTTTCAGACATTTGCATTATGCAAAATACCCAACATGCATAATGCTGGATTCACACAGAGATCTGTCTCTAGTATGTTACTAATACAATTAACTATGTCTAATCAGAAGTTATGAACCATTTCACATTCATATAGCATATGAGTCAGTTCCTGTTGCATCTCCATTTATTTATTTCTTTAACATTTATTCCAAAGCCCCAACCTTGACATTTTTGATGGAGGACAAGAATTCCTATTCTTTCTTCCAGTCTAAAAGATAAGGCGTGTCTGCTTGTCCCTGGCTGTGGAAAACCAAGGTTATTGTCTTTGGGTCAAAGCAGCTACCATGACACATTACCAAACCTCAGCATGCCCACTAGAAGACAAACAAGGTGAAGAGCCAGCCTTGAACAAGGTATCACTGCCTTACAATCTGCGATGGATACAGTTAGTGTGAGCACCCACTAGATGGCAGTGTGGTGTCATCCCAATTTACATCTCCACTGCTTCAGCCCTAGCTTTTCATCCAGTTTGTAATTTGCATTGTGTACTAAGTGAATGCCGAACAGTTGTTATGTTTGATTGCTTTCTGCTCCACAGACAAACTAGGAGGCAGATGCTTGAGAGAATCTTTTATTAATAATTTATGTGATGTGGTAGTTTGTTAAACACATGATCCACTGTGTGAGGAAAAAGACACAATTCAAAAATGAAGATATTTTATTTAAAATAAAATAAAGTTCTGTTGTAAATGAAATTAAAATAAAGGAAAATAAATCTGTTGTAGGTATTACATTTGCAGGTAGAAAAAACTATGCCAATAATGGTGATGGTGTTGTGGTTTCATGTCACTTTTTTGATGCTGTTGTTGCTTTGTTAACAGACACAAATTAATTTTTAAGATGTAGTTATGCTGACATACTAGGGGGCGCTAACCTATAGTTTGGCATACAACTATGGTCTATAGGTCCGCAGGTAGTTAATTAGATCATTTTAAGTGAGAAAAGAAAAAGTCATTCTGCGTAGTGATGAGGGCTAAAAGGTCTGCACTATAAAACATTAAGAGCAGATGTTATTTTCCCTCTGATTATCCAAAAATGTATATGAAATTTAGTAAATGTTTAGCAATAATAGGAAGTTATAGTTATTTCTACCAACATGCAAAATTAACGGTGTGGTTCTTTAATACTGCTGCTGCAGGTCTGCAAGATGTTTTATCTCTTTTCTATTTGTGTCTTCTATGTGCAGTTGAACTTCCATGACGAGCATGGACTGAATTTTCTACTCTGCCTCTATTTTAAAACATTGTTTACAGGGGAACAAAAACAAAGGTCTGAAATCATTTTGAAATTGTTCGGTTTTCATTTCCAGTTATTGAGGTCTTAAAAAGTATTTATTTAGATTTTTAAAATGGTGCAGGAACCCTGAATGACTATAACAAATGTTTTTCCACTATTGTTTCAACATATCTGCCATGGTATAATCATTTCTGTCTCTATCTGGACTACCTTTTACTGACTTAACACTCACACATATTAATCATTTGAATGAAATAGAATGTGTTGGACTGTGTAGTTGTCTACCTTCTATGTTAGAGAAAAATGACCCAGCTCAAGTATTGACAGAGACTTGGATGTTTTGAAAAGTAAAACAAATGACCACAGATGCTGCTCCCAGAAATGTGAAGTTCACCCTGCAGGGATCCAAACCTCCTGCACGTCATCTTCTCTCTCCTCCCAAATATTAGCTTTCACGCCC